GTTCTTTTCCGACCTCCAACATTTAGCAAGCTCCCAATTCTGCAAAATTTATGCATGTCTTTCACAATAGGTCATACATGAACAAATTTAAATCCCTTTTTGAATTTGGGATCTTGCTTTACTAGCTCTTTTGCTCTATCAAGCTGTTATAAAGAAAATATAGTTCAAATTCAACAATGCAATTAAGACAAAACAAATGAGACATCTAAATAACACGAATTTACAAGATACTCACAATATCTTGTTCAAATGCATCACTTTGGTTCATGTTCTCTATCTGTTGAATGCATCCTCTTAGTTTGCAGACCGCTGTTGATATATTTGCCCAGCGAGTTTGCAGCGATCTCGAAGGTTGATCAGTACAAATATGTGCCGGTAGCATTTGTTTATATTCTTGTGCAATGTGTTTCCAGAATTCTGGTGTAGAGCGATCATTGTCCTTTTTAGCATCTTGAACAATATCCATAAATATAGTATAAAGGAGTTTATCTTCCTCATTTGAGTATGAGGCAGTTCGGATCGAACGTGAGGGTTTTGTCATATTTCAATAACTGTTAAACTAGAAATAAATGTAATGAGATTTTGAGATTCAAAAGAGAGGTAGTATTACTTCTAAAATCGAATTGTAGCATTTATAGAGATACAAGATACCAATCAACGAATGAGATCTTCACGAGCTAATCTAACGGTTATAAGCAATTCTGGTAAAAGCTTAATCAAAGATTTGATATCTTTTATTGGGATATGTGTGAAAAAAGACATGCATACCAGTGAACAGATGAGATCTTCACGAATTAATCTAACGGTTGTAAACAATTCTCATAAAAGTTTATTCAAAGATTTGATATCTTTTATTGAGATATGTGTGAAAAAGGACATGCATACCAATGAACGAATGAAATCTTCACGAATTAATCTAACGGTTGTAAAGAATTATGATAACAGCTTATTCAAAGATTTGATATCTTTTATTGATATCCTTTATTGGGATATGTGTGAAAGAGGACATGCATACCAATTAATGGATGAGATCTTCGCGAACTAATCTAATAGTTATATACAATTCTGATAAAAGCTTATTCAAAGATTTGATATCTTTTATTGGGATATGTGTGAAAAATGACATGCATACCAATGAACGGAGGAGATCTTCGTGATCTAATCTAACGGTTGTAAACAATTCTGATCATGCCAATAAAAACGTTATGCATCACCAACAAATTGAGCATTCATCCCCTTATCATCTATCTCTAAATATATGAATTCCAACACTGGTAAACGTCCTATGTCATTTTCTTCATCATCATCCTCATCATCATCACCGGATTCTGAGCATAATCTCACAAGTGCAATACGAGCACAAACACAGTTATTAACCAATGCATATACTAGCCATAATTAACCTTGTCATAGCTTCCTACATGGAAAATACGGATAATCAACCAAGGCATGGAGGTTCAAATTTTGGTCATAGAGTGATTCACCATGATCATGAAGAAGCAGATAAAAGATTATGGAATGATTATTTTTCAGAGTATCCAAAATATTCTGAAGCAATATTTCGTAGACGATTTCGAATGAGTCAAAATTTGTTCATACGAATTGCCAATGCTGTTAAATTACTCATCGCATTCATCCTCAATGATCATATTGTGCATTATAATGCACGCTGACATTATATCATGCAATACACATTTATCCTTAAAACGTGTCGGTCCCTTGACTATTGCAATACACATTTATCCTTAAATCGTTCTTGCAAATCGTGATTGGAGAACTTCAAATGCACGTTCTACGTCTTTTCTACACAATTCTTGCATCATCGCAAATAACTTCTTTTTTTGGCCCTCGAGGTTCACGAATTGTTTGTACCAATATGGACCATTTTAGATATATACCATCCACTAAATAATATCATGTGTTGTACTCATGTCCTTGAATTACATAATGACAAGGAGGTGCTATACCATTTGGAAGATTTGAAAACAAATGAGATGCATCCAACACATTAATGTCATTATTCGACCCCGGCATACCAAAATGTGCATGCCAAATCCACAAATCATAATCTGCTACAGCTTCAAGAATAATAGTTGGTTCTCTACTCCGCCCAGCATATTGTCCAGCCCAAGCAGGTGGACAGTTTTTCCAGGTCCAGTGCATGCAATCTAAACTCCCAAGCATTCATGGAAAACCACGAAGTAGATATACAAGGTTGGAGGGAAGCACTGCTTCCTAAAGTTGATATAGCTAGAGATGAGAATATTATATTTCAAAAATTATTGCTCGGCATTGACAAATTAAAGATAAAGAAACACATTATGCACTTCGTAATGCATTGATTGAGCATTTGTAGGAACGATATAGTGATTCCGATAATTAAATATACTAGATGTTTTATGCTATATTATTATTATGGAATCAATTAAATTTTCAAAAATATTGTTAAATTTTATTTTTTTAATAATTAATGTTAATAAAAATTATTATTTACATCACAAGTTATATTTTATATTAAAATAATTAAATTCGGACTAAATTATATTAAACTAATTAAATTCGAACTAATAATTGAGAAATCAAATTATTTTAGTGTAGAAATTTGGTGTTTTGGTGTAAATGGGTTGGAGATGAATAAAATTTGGTGTGAAAATATGTTGAGAATATTCCTTCTGATGTGACATTTGGTGGAGAAATTTGGTGTTTTGGTGTGAATTAGGTTGGAGTTGCTCTAAGGGACATTTTTGTAAACACAACCTGGCATGGGTTGTGCTTGGGGCCTTAGGCCACTTTTCCTCCACTTGAGGTAAAAAAAAATAATAATAATAATAATATATATATATATATATATATATATATATATATATATATATATATATATATATATACACACATTAAAACAAAGGAATAGGGTTCAAATTGGCCACTGGACCTAACTTGAAAGTACGATTAGGTCACTGAACGAAAAAAATACAATTAGGTCACTAAACATCCCAAATATATGTAATTTCACATAATACCAGGTTATCATTCATTTCATGAGGTTGCATGCTTACTTGGATGGTGAGTTGACATTTTAAATAATTTTTAATAATAAATTTAAGAAATTAAAATAAATTTTTTTAAAAATAAAATAAAATAAAATAACCGGGGTGGCAGGCCTTTCTTCGTCTCCGCCGGAGATGACGGACTTATCTTCTTCTCCAACCGGAGACGAAGGAGGAGGTAGGGGGGAAGGGGGACGGAGTGGCCGCTTGCATTTTTTTTAATTTTTAAAGTTTATTATTAAAAATTATTTAAAATGTTAATTCGTTATCCACATAAGCAGACAACCTAATGAAATGAATGGTACCTGCTATCAGGTAAAATTGCATATTGGTGTTTTGGATGTGTCTTTATATTAGAATCAATTGTCTTGATTTTGTGTTCTTGTATTTTTAAAATTTTTATTCCAATTATTGGATTATACATAACCAAACAACACTATTGATAATCATTCTCATTCCACCCTACTACAAACATGCAAAATACTTTCAGTGTACTAACATTGATTACCATTACCAAGTATTTGATACCCATTTCGATTCGGATTCCCATGTGCGAACCAAACACACCCTTCGTTGGTTCTTATGGATTGAAATTTTTAAGAAATATTTAATTTCGAAATTTTCTTTGAAACTTTCCTACAAAACATATCAAAATCCATAATTAAAAGTGAAAAATACTATTATCAACCAAAAGGGAAATAAACTTGTTCAAAATTTGTGAATAATGTGGATGGTTTGGTCTTGTTTGAGGGGACAACACCTCATGGGAATTGAAAACGTGAAGATGAGTAGAAAAGAAGCGTGCAGTGAGCTAGGAAGCTAGCGCATGAGGGTCATTAATAAAGGCCGGTCGCCGGCCGGACTGTAGTGCCCACTTGCACCCTCCAACTTGCACTCCAAAATATATTCAAACCACAACCCAACAAACAATTTGCAACTTGCATATATACACCCCATGCCCATTACATTCTTTTTTGTACGTTAACTAATTAAAAGCTTGCAACTTGCATTTCTTTTTTGTCTTTTATTTTATCATCATATTAATAATAATACTTATGCATCACCTAATTGGTATCTCCAACCAAAAAATAAAGTTCAATTCCTCCCCACTTGCAGCCTTGATTGGCTGGTGATTCCCATCAACATTTTTCCATTCAAATAATCTATTAATTCTTTTTTCATCTAATATGATATTTTAAACAAAAAATTATGTTGTAATTGGTAATCCTACTCCTAGCTCCATTAAGCCCAAGTGCTTTTCCCCTTCAAAAAGTGAAAAAGATTTTTATCTTTTTTAAATAATTAGAAAAAAAAAAACCCCAATGTTAAAGAACCATGGTGAATGAGAATATATATATATATATATATATATATATATATATATATATATATATATATATATATATATATATATATATATATATATATATATTATAACCTGATTTTATGATGATTCATAAAGCCAACTATTATGTAGGGTGATGGTAGCAAACCTGTTACCATTCTAAATGGATGGTCATAGGATCAAACTCTGACAGTAGGGGCAGTGATTTTTTGGGCTGAAATATGCAGAATATATATTGAAAATTAGTAAAAAGTGGGTCAATTAATAATTTTTCAAAAACAAGTAAAAAATGTAACAATTTTTTGCTATTTTTAGTGTTCAACAATGAAATGAAAAAATTACCATATATATATATATATATATATATATATATATATATATATATATATATATATATATATATATATATATATATGTGTGTGTGTGTGTGTGTGTGTGTGTGTGTGTGTGTGTGTGTGTGTGTGTGTGTATGGATCTTTAATCCAATATTTTGTGTTGTTGATTATTGTAGTAGAAATTTTGTTTGTAAGATGAGTAGAATTAGGTCTTGTGCCTAGGGATTTTGAGAATTTATATGATTGATTAGAAGTGATTGAGGAAGAAAAGTGTTGAATATACAAAACCTAATAAATTAAAGTTCATTCATCTCAAAGGCAATATAATGCAACAATAGCTGGCTAGCTAAAACAAAAACTTAAGGATAATATGTATGTACATAGTGATCAATTCACAAGTTATCATACCATCCAAAATATCTCAACAAATTAAATCATAGAACTCACAATGCCTAGCAGCTAAGATCTGGATCCAGATAATCAATGTTGACATTTTCATATTAGATCTTGTTCTAACAACATCAGTTGTTGTTGTTTCGCCGGCAGGAATTCTGGGCGATCTGCGCCAGAGATTGGAGGTTGCATTTGACGATAGTGTCGACGAAGACGCAGGTTTCGTCTCTCGTGTTTCCCGGCGGGACGTCAACAACGTAGGACTCCACGACGATGGTGGTGCCGCCGGTGGCCTCGGAGTGGAGGGTGGTGACGGAGCGGTAGTTGGCGAGGCGGTGGTCGCCGGCGACGACGCTGAAGCTGATGACGTGGCGCTCCTCGTCGAGGATCTCCAGCCGCTCGGTGCTGCTGCCGGCGGGGAGGCCGGAGATGACGCGGACCTCGCGGAGGGTGCCCACGGTGCCGTCTCCGACGATGACGTCGCAGCTCTTCACGAAGTGCTTGTAGGCCTGGGGGTTGTCGAAGCGGCGGACGACGGACCAAACGGTGGAGGCGGGGGCGGAGATCCGCTGGATCACGGCGGAGCAGCACTGGTTGGGTCCTACCGGATGGGTGTGATAGCGGGCCACCGTTTCCGGGACCTCTGTGACTGTGGCGCAAGATATTGGCGATGACAGCCGTTGATGCGGCGGCTGAGATTGCTTACGAGTGGTGGAGGTGGCGGTGCTGATTCTTTGAAGTAGAACAGAAGTCTTTGGTGGGTTCGGAGCCATTTTGTTTTCAGATGGGCTCTTGATGATTCTATACACGCATATATAAGTGAAACTCTTTGTTTTTTTTTTTTTTTTTTTTTTTCCAATGGGACAGACTGACAGAATATATATATAAATGAAAACCCTTTGGAACCTTAACTTTTTTTTTTCCATCAAAGGATCCAAAGAGCAAATAACAAAATTATATGAATCTAGGTCAAATCACTAATTCAAAAAATCAGCTTAGTTGGCGTGTGAACTGTACTCTCGTTCTTTAAGAGAGGGTCGGGAATTGAACTCTTCTCGTATAAAAAAAAAATCAATTTGGTCAACATTTTACCCCTTAATTGGACTGACTCGATGCGAGCAGAGATTAGTCTGAGTATGGTACAGGCTTAAATGTGTCATATAATTAGGGTTTGCTGACGATACCTCGTGGTCTGACCAAAAAAATCACTAATTCAATGGTGCTTGATGTTGACAAAGACGGATATATATTAGAAGGAAACTCAAAATTATAGAATTCAAAATCAAAATTGTCATAAAGGATTATCTAACTTTGCATCCAAATTAACTCACATGTATCTTTCAAGTTAACTCTCTAATCTCAATTCAATGACTTTCTAATGACTTCAAGGGTATGGAAGTTGGAGTACTTATTACGGAGTATTAAATTACCTCAATGTTTAATCTTCTAAACAACCACGATTATATATTGAGTTATAACCCTCCAAGGTACATGTTAGTGTAAATTGAAGCACTATAACCCCGATTATACATAGCCTAAATTTAATATTTAATGAAATTAATTACAGAAGTATAAATTGATGAATTGAAGCTTTAGTACCCCAATATTGATTATATATATAGCCCAAATATTGAATGAAAAATGAATGAATTTCTTGGTTGCTCAAGGTTACAAGTAGGGATGGCAATTTCAATCCGACCCGTGGATATCCACCCGAATCCACCCCGCATGGATCGGGTTTTTTTGGGTGATGGTGGGTGGTGGGTCGGGGGTGGGTCTTAAAAAAGCAAACCCGCGGTGGGTCGGGTTGGATTCGGGTTCTATGTACAAGACCCGCCTAGAACCCCACCCGACCCACCATGTGTGTGTGTATATATATATATATATATATATATATATATATATAATAGTAAAATAAATACTAGTATGTAGTTATTTATAAAAGTTTATTTAACTTCGTGTATCTTTTTACTTTTTTTTTATATCAAAACTACTAAGTTTATTTTTAAAAATTAACAATTTAGTTATTATATTTAAATATTTCCATTATTTATGTTTTAGTACCCCTAATGGATTTTATTTTTTTTTATTATGTGTAAATAATTTAAATATTATTTTTGGAAAAACATAATAAGATGATAAGTGGTGGGTACCCATAGTGGGCACCCGCACCCAGTGGGGGTGGGGGTGGGTTCTGAAAAAGTCCACCCGATGCGGGTTGGAGGTGGGGGTGGGTGGAGAAAATATAAGGTGGGTCGGGTGATGGATGTAGCCCTCCCCGACCCACACCCGACCCATTGCCATCCCTAGTTACAAGGACACTATCTTAATTATAATAAAGTCATATGGTCTTATGAAAATTAAATGTTGATATTAATGGTTAAATGTTAGTATTATAGTTAAGATTTAGCAAGTTTAGCAAACACTTTTTATATGAGTGAAAAACATATGATATATAACATGAAACAAGTGAAGAAAATGTATAGTGCATGCAATACAACAAATCTGATACATTACCTATATAATTACATGGAAATAGTGAATTTTGCAACAAAAATAATAATATAGCATTAAAAATGATGTCAAACCAGATATCAAAGGGAAAACTACTCCTGAAAACTATTTATAAAATATCAAAGAGAAAAGAACACAAAAGTGAATGACAAACTAGATAAGGAAAGTAAATGTTAACACTTGAAAATCATTTTTAACTCTAAAAAAACAATTGAAATCTTAACTATAATATAGCCATATGGTTTGGTGAGCAATTATTGTTACAATTATTTTTTAAAATGGTGATGATGATTAATAGTCATTTATATTTATAAATAATTGTTTGGTCTTTAAATGTCAATTGTATGTTGCTACATCGAGTTAGAAATCTGAAAGGTCTAAAAATTTTGATCCGTGGGGACTCTCAAATTGTAATTCAATTACTATTGTAGTTTACTAAGTTCTTGAAATTTTGTAATATTAAATACTATGCACTAATCTAATACGTAATATTGGTAAATTTCTCTCTAGGGTTTGCTAGAGTTTTCTCCTCCCCTAGGGTTTGCTAGGTTTCCGACGGTTTCCTACGTTTTTTCCGGTGATCATCACTGTTTGGCGACGCTAATGAGTACGCTGAGTTGGAACTGCCGTGGCTTGGGTAATCCACGGACAGTTCGAGAGGTGGTGGACATGGTGTCCAAAAAGCAACCCGACTTTGTATTTCTAATAGAAACTAAGGTAGCGCGAGATCATGCTGAGCGTCTTCGTGTTACGATCGGTTTCGAAGGCTTATTTTATGTTGACAATGATGGTTTGAGTGGTGGATTAGCGTTATTGTGGAAGAAGAATAATACGGCGAGACTCCTTAGTTACTCAAGAAACTACGTTGATATTGAGGTAACTATGACAGGTAATCCGGCCTGGAGAATGACGTGTTACTATGGTTATTCGGACCGTAATAGGCGTGCTGAATCATGGGATTTGTTGAGAATGTTGGCGGCAAAATCGAATCTCCCGTGGGTGGTGGTGGGGGATTTTAATGATTTGCTATACCAGTATGAGAAGAGAGGGGGAAATCCACATCCGAATAGCCTTCTTCGAGGTTTTGGGGAGACGATTGAGGATTGTGGATTGGCCCAGTTGCCAATGATTGGATACCCATATACCTGGGAGAAGGGGAAAGGGACTGCAAACTGGATTGAGGAGAGACTTGATAAGGTCCTAGTAACGAACGAGTGGCGCAATATAATTCCCCATGTAAAGGTTATGAATTTGAGAACCAGGAAGTCAGATCATTCAGCCATTTTTTTCACAGTTCAGGAGGAGGTAGGGAGGGATGGGGTTAGAAGAAGGGGTTTTAGGTTTGAGATGGCATGGTTATATGATGAGGGATGTAGGGGTGTGGTGGAGCAGGCGTGGCAGGAAGGGAGAGGGCAGGGTTTACAGGGTTGTGTTCAATACTGTGGAAACCGGTTAAGACGATGGGGTGGGGATCGGTTCCATAAGTATGGGAAACAGATTGTGCAGCTGAAACGGGATCAACAACGTTTGAGAGGATGCACTGACTCGGCCTCTCTTGTCGAGTTTCAGCGAATAGAGCAACTTCTGAGTCGCACTGAGGCCCAGGAGGATGCATACTGGAGGCAGAGAGCCAAGCAGCACTGGCTCAAGGAAGCTGACGCCAATACCAAATTCTTTCACAGGTATGCCTCTCACCGAAAGAAAAAGAATACTTTACTTAGATTAATGAATGACAATGGGGATTGGTTGGAGGGGGATCCCATGAGAGATATCATTCTGGACTATTTTAAGAATATTTTCAGCTCTGGGGGTCCGGGAACTGGAGATGATTTTTTTGGGGGGATAGAACCCAGGGTATCACAGGCGCAGAATGACTCACTATTACGGCCATTTAATCTGGAGGAAGTAAAGGATGCATTGTTTGCAATGTATCCGGATAAAGCACCGGGACCGGATGGAATGAATCCGGGTTTTTATCAGCATTTCTGGGATGTGGTAGGAGGGGATGTTGCGAGTTTTGTGCTAAACTGTCTTGAATCAGGTGACCTCCCGTCTGGCTTGAATGAGACAGATATTGTGTTGATCCCTAAAAAGAGTAATCCAGAGTTAGTAACTGATTTGCGCCCTATAGCACTTAGCAATGTCATTTACAGAATAATAGCTAAAATGATGGCTAATAGAATGAAGCCTTTGATGGAAGGAATAATATCTGAGACACAGAGTGCTTTTATCCCAGATAGATTGATAACAGATAATATTCTATTAGCTGCAGAAGTGGGGCACTTTCTGAATCGAAAACAGTGTGGATTGAGGGGCTGGGGTGCACTTAAGCTGGATATGGCTAAGGCGTATGATCGAATGGAGTGGCCTTTTCTCCGTAATATGATGATGGCATTGGGTTTCCATGATAGATGGGTTGATTTGATTATGAAATGTGTGACCACAGTCTCCTATAGTATTCTGATAAATGGCTCAAGGAGTGACCCAATAATACCCACGCGTGGTTTGAGACAGGGAGACCCGCTATCCCCATATTTGTTTATTATCTGTGCAGAGGGACTCTCGTTGTTACTACAACAGGCTAACAGAGCGGGATTAATTCATGGATGTAGGGTAGCAAGAGGTGCCCCTCAGATTTCTCATTTGTTTTTTGCGGACGATAGCCTTTTATTCTTTAAGGCTAATGTGGAAGAGGCTAATGAGATAAAGAAATGCCTGACTGTATATGAGGATCTATCGGGACAGGTGGTTAACTACCACAAGTCGAGTATTTGTTATAGCAGGAATACGAGTAATGTGGATAGGGAAAGTGTGGCCCAAGTTTTGGGGGTGGAGCAGGCACCAAACTTTGGCAAGTATTTGGGTCTACCTTCGTTTGTGGGTAGGAATAAAAATGCAGCTTTTGCATATATTGAGGATAAAATACGCCAAAGAATTGGGTCATGGAATAAAAGGCTATTGTCTCAGGCAGGGAAAGAAATACTGTTGAAAAGTGTGGCACAATCTATGCCTACCTTCTCAATGAGTGTTTTTTTGTTACCTATATCAGTATGCACGGCTATAGAAAGAACGATGAATAGATATTGGTGGGGTTCTGGGACGGACAACCGAGTTCACTGGAAGGCTTGGGACAAGCTATGTGTTCCTAAGAAGTATGGTGGATTGGGTTTTAAGGACCTACGTGCATTTAATCTAGCTATGTTGGGGAAACAGGCATGGCGAATGCTCACTAAGCCTGATTCCTTAGTAGCTCGTGTTTACAAAAGCCGATATTTTCCCAAGGATACTTTCTTTGATGCGCAGGTAGGAAATAATCCCAGTTTTTGTTGGCGGAGTATAATGGCATCAAAGAGCATAATTTGTAGTGGGGTCAGACGAAGAATTGGGAATGGGGAAACTACATCTATATGGACCCATCCATGGTTACTGGATGACCAGGACCCTATGATACAAACAGAGATGCCTATACAGTTACGAGAGGCCAGAGTAGTGGGGCTAATAGATCAACAAACTGGTACATGGGATAATGAAATTTTATCAGATTTATTTCAACCTACGGATGTCGAGAGAATTATGAGAGTACCTGTATCCCGGGATTATAATGATGCATGGTATTGGTACGGGGACCCGAGAGGATTATATTCTGTGAAAAGCGGGTACAGACGATTGGTGGGAGATTATGAGAATAATCAAGGCCACTTTACTAATTGGTTAGCTTTATGGAGACTAAAAATTCCACCAAAGTGGAAAATGTTCCTCTGGAGAGCTATTTGTGATATTTTGCCTACAACTACGAACTTGCTTTTAAAGAGGGTGGAGGTGAACCCATATTGTGCTATGTGTGGGATATCACATGAGAATACAATGCATGCATTAGTCTTGTGTGATTTTGCAAGAAACATTTGGGATCAATCCAACCTTACAATCCCCAATATTGTCACAGATATTTTTCATGTTTGGTTTGGGGAACTTCTAAATATTTTAGATTCTGATGGAATGTTATATGCAGCATCAATTCTATACAATATTTGGAAAGCTCGAAATGGTGCAGTTTGGGAGGCGTTTTTACCACGCCCGGGGTCCCTACTCAGAGCCGCAGCGGCAGCCAAGACCGCATGGACTCAGTCCCGCCCAGCCGTGGCTGCCACTGCCACTGCTACGCTGCCGACAGAAAACCGCCACGCTGCCCAGGCGAGTCCCACCGCCGGCCGCGGTGCTGCTGACGCCGCCGGATCCTCTGTGCTGCCAGTGAGAAGATGCAGGGTCGATGCGGGATATCTACACGAGACAGGGAATGCAACTGTAGGGGCCGTTTTATTAGATGGAGATGGAGCCTATATCTCGGCACTAACCGCGCCGCTACCGGCCTGTACGTCACCACTTATGGCTGAGGCTTTGGCGTGTAAGGAAGTTTTATCATGGCTAAAGGATCGAGGTGAACAGAATATTGAGATCTACACGGATTGTTTGACACTACAACGCTACCTTACATCATCAACCACTGCGTTTCGCTCTTACGTTGGCTATGCCATTGATAGCTGCAGGCAAATTGCCGTTTATTTTCACTCATGTTCTTTTAATTATATTTCTAGATCGGACAATTATTTAGCTCATGCTTTAGCCACTACGGCTTATCAGCAACCTGATACTATGTACTGGGATACTCACCCACCAGACATTATTTCAGCATTTTTCTAATGAAGCACCGCAGAAAATTTTCAAAAAAAAAAAAATACTATGCACTAATTTTTTAATATAGTTTAAGATTTGTAGTAATCACACACCTTAAATATTATTTTAATTGTAAATATATTTATGTTCATAATTTTATCATAGGAATTCACACATAATAATTATTAAATAACAAAAATTTTATATATGAATAAATCTCATATAGGGTATACTTTTATAATATATTTTTCGTGCATCGCACGGGACAAATACTAGTTATATTAAATTCAAGAGTTTAATTTGAACCTTTTTTAAATACATTATGGTAGTATTTATAGACTTTGATGGCTTCTAGTCGTTACAATATATAGATTACGTGAGATTTGGCATGCATCCTAGGTAACTGCCTCACATTTAGGGCGCGGCTAGCAATGTGAATCTAGGTAAGTTATAACAAATTTTAGGAACCCTCCAAGGCATTCAGTGGGTCAATTAGTCCTCTAGAGCGACTAGGTAGGTCAATGGGTCCGATCTTCTAGACACTTATGCTATAAATATTTTAAGTCTTACAGTTAGGAATTATCTTTATATATATATTGATGATATTGATTGTTGTAATTTTAAGGACTTAGACTCTCTAAAAGTTTCTTTGTAATAGCCCTCTTGGGTTGATCTTTGTATAAACCGAAATTAAGACTTAATGGTTGTTAAGCCTTTGTATGTTAGAAGATCTTCACCGGCAAACATGTATTGATTCTTTATAGTTGAATGTGTTCACTATTAGCAAGCCTTATCCCGTAGATCCTATATTTAAGATTTTAGTATATCTTGCTCTTATGACCAGTAGACTCTAACGGTAAAATTCTTCAGCAAACTCGATCAGCAGATCTCAACTTCCCTATATAGTTCAAGTCAATGGTAGACCATTCAACTCATGTGTTAAGGTTTTTTGGCAAATGTATTATCATCTTACTATGACGGATTGCCGGGAATGAGCAGTACTGAAACCAAGTCTCAGTAGACAGTTTGTGCAACAGATCTTAGGTTTACCGGCACTCCGATAGATGTACTTTTGACAAAGTCGGTACAAGGAATCTTCTTTGTCCTTGTTTGAAGAAGAGTTATTGGGCACTTTTTTCGAAGATTCCTGCCTAAAAGCTATCTTCTGATAAGTAGAATACATTATTTTTTAACCTACACCAATTAGAGAGACATTCCTTTTACCTGAAATTAAAGGAAATAATTTTTAAACAAAGATCAATGCGTGTTGCGGAAAAGGAGGAGATGGCATATTTTGGACACCCTGCTACTATCTTAGAATGCGCCAATAGAAATTTTTAAAATGTTTAAATTTTCAAGCTCCTTAGCTCTATATAAAGAGTAACTCATGAAGCGTAGTAGGTGTTGAATAACCTAAGAATTATGAGCAAATCATTAGTGAAGTACACAAGGACGTCATTCTCAGTGCTTAAACACTTCAAGAATCATCTCATATTCTATTTTGTTAGTCTTCAAGACTAAAGTTCCTTGTCTCAAGCATTTAACAAGGTTCTCTCAAGGTGACTTGGTGGACGATCCTTGACGAAAAAGTTAGACAGTGAAGAGCGCACAGCTTAGTAAAAAAAGTTGTTCAAAGAATTTCCAAAGAAATTTTGCAAGTAACCTAGTTGGCTTGGTTTGCAACTAGAGTGAAATGCTAATTTTTCACTTTTATTGGGTTGATACTAGCGAAACATCCTATGTTAAGGAGAATAGTAGAGTAGGAATTTCGCAAACCATCCCATTATAAAAATCTCTAACTCAATTTTTCTATCACTTGTCGTTTTTACTTTATGCTTAGCTTACACTACATATGGCGGACTCAAGCTTGGGTTATTAGGCTATCGTTGAGTCTTGAGGGTTAGTGATATTAACATCCACAGTATTTTATTTCATAAAAAATGTAAATCATGTGTATAAATGATCAACAAACACATATGGGGTTAGGAGAGTTAAAAGTGTTCAATAGTCATTTGATTTCAAATCAATCAAAATTGAGCAAAGAATATAAAAGAAGAGCATATATATATATATATATATATATATATATATATATATATATATATATATATATATATATATATATATATATATATATATATATATTAAAGGAATAAGCTAGGTTCAAATTGGTCACTAAACGTAACCTGAAAATGCAATTAGGCCACTAAACGAAAATAAAAAATGTGCAATTAGCTAGGCCACTGAACACTCCAAATGTATGCAATTTCATCGGATAGCAGGTTACCATTAATTTTAGCAGGTTGCCTGCTTACGTGCCAGCTGAGTTGACATTTTTAATAATTTTAATAATAAAGTTTAAAAAAATGAAAAAAAAATAAATTAAATTAAATTAAACGACCCCATCATTTATATATTTATTTATTTTTTAATTTATTATTAAAATTTATTAAAAATTATTAAAAATGTCAACTCAGCTGCCACGTAAGCAGGTAACCTGCTAAAATTGATGGTAACAGGCTATCAGGTGAAAGTTCATACATTTGGAGTGTTCAGTGGCTTGCACTTTTTTTTCGTTCAGTGACCTAATTGTATTTTCATGTTACGTTCAGTGGCCAATTTGAACTTTATTCCTATTTTAAATAAAATGAAGAGTGGAGGGCAGGAGGGAAGATGCATTATATTGTTATTCTGATGCACATATGCAATATAAAGAATGTGCAAGTAGGCGTCTAATATGGAAATATATTTGTGGGAGATAGGAGTTTGGGGTTGGAGATGAAATGGTCACTTTCCGACTTTGGTTAAAGAGTGATATGAGGTGTTTGCCCTACTTTCAAGTGGTTGAGATGCTGTGTGGCAACCCATGTGATATGTGAATCTAAGCTATTCGCATATTCTAGACTCAGATTTTTGCTTATAATAAAGCTAAGTAAAAAAGCAAGAAAAGCATTACATAGAGGATGCCATTGGTTATGCATGTGAATATGTGATGTTGATATAAGAGGATCAACTTGTTGCCACTTGAGAAGCTCAGATTAATAGCCCATTGAAATATAAATATACAATACTATTACTAAAATTGTCATTGTAACAACTTTGAATGAGAGAAAATTTACATTTTCTAGCAATTGATTGTTAGATATTTGGTTTACGGGACTGAATGTGACAACACAAGTACACGTATGCACTAAATGTGACAAAATTAATAGTTAAGGTTGTCCTCAACCCAGCCAATGTTGGACTTGCAAGATGATGTGGCCGGAAATAAATAAATAAATAAGCATTGCTAGTTTCTTTTGTTTGAAATCCACGTGGCTATCAAATTTGCTACTTTTGAAAGTTAGTTTGCTAATGACGGCTTTTGCTGTAATTTCGCAGCAAAAGTTGCCGCGCCATTACTTTTTTTTTTTTATTAGTTATTTTATTATTATATTTGTAATATAATATGGAAGTGTGATCACTTTTGAAAGTGCGAGAATATTGTAGGGATGAAGAGAAAATAGTTGAGAAATTGTAAATTTTATGATGTGGGAGTGAGACTCATTTTTTAAAGTGAGAGAGTATTGTAGGGATGGAGATATCATTATTCTAAGGCTATCCTCATCCTAGCAAGTGAACCCCTTTCAATATGATGTGGAATGTAATGTGGATTTTTTTTTTTTTATTAGCTTATGTGGCTTGCAAACTTGCTATAATAGCAAGTTTGCAATTGACATTTATTTATTTTTTATTTTTTATTTTTTATTTGCTATTTTATTATTACTTTATTATTACATTTATAATATAAAATGAAAGTGATACCACTTTTTGTAAGTGAGAGAGTATTGCAGTGATGTGGAGAAAATAATAAAGAATTTATAAATTTGATGATAGGGTAGTGACATCCATTTTTGAAAATGAGATAGTATTGCAGGGATAAAGATACTCTAAGAATCAAATTTGAAAAGATAATAGTTCCTTTGATAAATGTAAAGAGATGCAAAGATAAAATTCAAATCATTACAAGGAAGATGACAAAGAAAAAGGGATGTTTTTAGCTCTTTTGAAACTTTTTTTTTTTTTTTTTTGAAAATAGCTCTTTTGAAACTTATTTTAACTTTATGTCACATTTTTATTGAGAATTTAAATGTAAATTTTTACTTGTTGATTCTTCTCTATTCATTTTACAAAGTAAAACATACCAAGTTGGCATCATCTCCACATTTTGAGCTCTGATCTTATTTATCATACCAAATTCTCTAACCTTTGCATTATTTGATGTATAAAATATGACATTTTTTTTAGTATATTAAAATACCACTTCAACCTCAATTTCTTCATCTCTTCCTTCTCATCTATATTTATAGTATAATATAACCAATAATATTTGAATTTAGGAATGGAATATGAATTTCTAACTAACATGGAGATCATCACTATGTATTATATTATATATTGTTTTATTCAATTTTCTTGTAAGTTTGTAATTGTGCCACTTTCTCATTCATCAATGTTATTAGTAATAAGTTTCTTCCTTTACTAGTAGGTACCGTTTCAAAAAGATACATTATTTAATGAAATCTGATGTTATACATTATATATACAAATGTTAATATTTTTTAATATTATTTGATCATTTCAATGTTAACTAGGAAATGATAATAAATTTGTAAATAATATATACATTTTCTCAAATTACACACTATCCAATCTCCATATAAAAATCACATCCATGTTATTATGTTAATTTCTATGGTGTTGAATAATTTGGAACCGAATTGCCCCTGCATTATCTATAGATAATTTGTTTCTTTGTCTAACTATGTTCTGAATCTTTATTTAACTAATTAATGAAATTTCTTTTTTACTTTAAAATTTTAAAAATATATAAATAAATAAACTCAAGGGCTGCATTTTTGAGATTGGTACAAAAGGCTAAGATCAGTGGTTCCTAAAAAAAATTAAACTATAGTCAATCTCAAAAGAGTGATGTCTTTATCGGTACTTTTGGTCCTGTGACTATTATGGTCTTATTAATTTGAGTACGTGACTTTAAAAACAAACAATTTAGTTTCGTAACTATGCAATTTTTAACACATTTGGTCCTCCCGGTCAAATTGCCGGCCAAATGTTGCCGGAAAAAGATAATTCCTTTAAAATAGTTTATTTATGGGGGTAAAATGGTCATTGTAAGCTAAAAAAGGGGGGGGGGGCGGGGGGGGGGGGGTGGAGATTTGTTCTTGTTTTCTACTTCTCTCCTCGTCATTGCATCATGTTTTACGCGAAGAAGAAGGCTGCGAAGAAAGAAGAGAAGGAGGAAGAAATCTGGGAAAAAAATGCTTTATTTTCTTCATCTTCTACTCTTTTCTTTGCTCTGTTTGTTGAAAAAAAAAAATGCTTGGATGATTTGCAGGGGTCCAACCATTTTGATTCCTGGGATTTTACTTTCCTTCCTTGTGGCTTCGCCGGAGATTTTTGCGATGGGGATAATGTGGTCACGTTGAATCTCAGGGATGGGTCGCCCGATTGGGAAACTTTTGGGCTGGACAGAGTTTAGCGTTGTTCCGGGGAGAATAATCGGTGCATTGCCGGAAAGCTTGTCAGAGTTGCAGAACCTCATGTTTCTTGGAATCAGCCTGAACTTTAATTTCTCTCCGGCGGGATTCCGTCTTGGAAATCCTTTCTGGCATCTCCCGGCCTCCCTCTCCTGCCGCTACCGCTGCGCAAGAAGAATTACTGCAACGACTCTTTGCTCTCTGCTTCTTTGCTGCCCATACTTAGCGCTATGAGACCCATTATTTGAGCTTTGCAGCTTTGGATTATACAAGTTAATTGGGTAATTAATTAAACTTGGGATACGGGATTTATAGGTTTGGATTAATGAAACGGAAATGGAAAATGGAATGCAATGTGAACTAAAGGAGCAATATAAGATGAAGAAGAAGGAAATGAAGAACCATTCTGGCCTTCCATTCACAGACCCATGTCTCCAAGATCTGCAGACCAGGAGAAGAAAACCAAGAAGAAGGATGAAGAAGAAGGAAATGACCTATTTGCCCCCGAATTAAAAAATATTAAAATGGATTAAAAATATTCCAGCGACATTTAGCTGGCAATTTGGTCGGAAGGACCAAATGTGTTAAAAATTGCATAGTTACAGGACTAAATTGTTAGTTTTTAAAGTCAAGTACTCAAATTAACAAGACTACAATAGTTACAGGACCAAAAGTGTAATTTTCTCTCAATATTATATATACTTATTACTTAGGCAAATTATATCGTGTACCAGAGTGCACAATACATTGTGCATCCTGGCCAAAACGACATCGTTTTGTATCTGTTTTTTTTTTAGAAATTTTGTTTCTCGTTTCTGCCGTTAACTTCTAAAAGAAATAAATAAAATCCCCTATTTCGAATATACATAATTGTATAGTAGAATACACATAAACTCATAACATAATACACATAATATAACATAATACATAATACACATAAACTCTTAACATAATACACATAAATTCTTAACATAATACACATAAACTCTTAACATAAAAACAACGTCGTTTTAGGCAGGGCGCACAATACATTGTGCATCCTGATGCACGATATAACAATTGTATTACTTAATAATTCTTCTCCCAAAAGCCCAACCCCGACCCGACAGACCATTTGACTTAATGACTCAACAGACAAAGTCAAATGCCGTTGCGCATAATCCCCACACTGTCGCCAAAGTTCAAACCTTGGTTTCTTCTCCTAATACTGCCTACTGAACCATTAAGTTAAGCCTATTCAAACAATAATTCTCAATTCTATTAGAACAACCACAATAGCTGCTTGAAATGAGTGAATGTTTTTTTTTTATTTTCCAGCCCATAAAAAGTTCCTATTTCAGCAAATTTATTTTCTCTCTCCTGCTCACGCAAAAATATCTCCTAAAATAACTATTGAACTATTAGAGTTGCTCTTAGTAACAATTTTTATAAAATATTTCCATTTAAAGAAAACATTTTTTTATGAAACTAAAAAGTTTAGACTACTTACTAGAACTTCCAATACCTATTTGTTGATTCACTTGCATTCAACACCAAAATTAACAGCCGACATTCGATAAGTCCAGGCATACACAGCCAATAAGTTGTAGTTCAAAACTGTATAAAATGTCTATTGAAAACAAATATCCAGCAAAAATTCTAATGCAACAAAATGATAGCAACTCAGTGAATGAAAATTTAGAGGGTACATCCACTTGGGGCAGTTTGGAGCGAGGAAATTTATTATTCTTTTAGGCAGTAGTAGCGGATTGAGCAGCAAGTCTCTTCTTGGCCTCCTCAATGATGGTCAGCTTAATACCTTTGCCCTTTGGTAGTGACACCCATGGCTTAGTACCTTTCCCGATTGTGTACACATTACCCAAACGAGTTGCAAACTCGTGACCAAGAGCATCCTGGATATGAACGGTCTCGAAGCTTCCCTTATGCTTCTCCCTGTTCTTGATCACACCGACACGCCCTCTGTTCCTTCCACCAGTGACCATGACGACGTTGCCTACATCAAACTTGATAAAATCAACTATCTTGTTTGATTCCAAGTCAAGCTTGATCGTGTCATTAGCCTTAATGAGCGGATCAGGATAGCGAATAGTTCTCCCATCATAGGTGTTGATGTAAGGGATCCCTTTCTTCCCAAACTGAACTGATCGAACTTTACATAGCTTGAACTGTGAACCAGAAAAATACAATATGTAACTTTACTGTGTTAGCAAAGAAAATGCAATAGAATGAAGACTCACCAATCACCACATCATGTCATGGTAGCCAACAGTAAAGGAAATACAACAAAAAAGATAAGATTTTTCCAAAAAGAAAATCAGAAATGGAAGTGCTTCCTCCAGAATTTAAACACTTTCTCATTCAGTTGCTTTATAGAAAAATAAATAATCATTTAACATTCACAGGGAGATTTTAAAAAATGTCCTTATTTATATTTGGTAGTGCTTCCATTTTGGCGTACTGAGATATTTGCACAAAGAATTCCTCCTAAAAGTAACGAAAACAGTACTGAAAGGCAAGATACAAGCTATTCCATGAAAAGACAAGTGTCACAAACCTTAGACTCCTCGTCCCTGATTGAGTGAAGCCGAAATCTGCCCTTGGTGTCATAGAGCAGACGGAAATTCTCATTCGTCTTGGGCATTGACACGACATCTAGCAAAAAATTCAACAGTTCACACAGGAGAAGGAAACAATTTCAAAATTAGTGTTTCAGTATATTTTTCAATCAAACGGCAAGTTTCAAAAGGTCTCCTACCCATAAAACCAGCAGGGTACGTCTTGTCAGTCCGCACCTTTCCATCAACAAGAACATGGCGTTGCATCAGGATAGAAATGACTTCACGATATGTGAGAGCATATTTCAATCTATTACGTATAATCAAAACCAAGGGTAAACACTCCCTTGATTTGTGGGGACCTGATGATGGCTTTGGTGCCTGCATACACCACATGAAGAGGACTTGAATAAGAACATGAAGATGCGGAACTGGGCATTTCAGGAAGGGGGGAGGGTGGAACCATTTTAAATAAAAAGAAAAGAAAGGGACATATAATCAACTCACAAAAGCACCACCTAGCTTGTCCAACATCCAATGTTTTGGGGCATTGAGCCTCTTCATGTGTTTCTTCAAACCCCGAGCCTAATCATCAAAATATGCCAGACAAACAATGTCATACAAGAATGAGTCATTCAGAACCAGCATAGTACCAAAGAAAGTGTGAATGACACCAAGAAGCATCCACAATTGAAATTTGAAAGAAGCTAAACCATGAAAGAATGCAGAAAATGGAATGATATTTAGATAACAAAAAAAAAAAAAAAAGCATGAATTTGTACAAACCTAATCATGAGATTGATGATTACCTACGTTAATGTCACAAAATCATAAGAAAAAAGAGTTTTGACAGCCTTTCACAAATTCCATTACCCCCTAGTTATCATAAACATATGGAAGCTCTAAACTAGCACATCAATCAAAATCTCTCAGTCATCCTTCATTCATTGAGTGCTCCTATTAATAACTAACATACTCTGGAAATCCATTCTTCGTTGTGAGGGAATCCCAGAGAAAACTATAACTGATCCAACTCCATGAAAAACAGAACCAAACAGTTCAAAGCATGGATCTTTGGGGCAAACCACAAACTACAATTATGGAACCATCTCCTGCTCTGATTACTATTAACTTTTCATTCATATATCCTAGGATAATTAAAGGAGCTTTTACTATTAGAAAAGAACCACTTCCATCTACATTACAAGCATCCTGTAAACAATTCTGTAAGGAAAAAATATCCAGCGCAATAATCGCCCATAAAACCATAGAATGGCATATATGGACCGATTACAAAGCGCAGAGAAGTTTTGAAAGCAAACTAATACGAAGCTATTTTTGCAGAAGCTGAATACAGTTCAAAAATATAGCCGAATGCACTTCAAAGGCATTTACAATCAGCATTTCCGCAATGATATTGCAACCAAAATTCAGAAAAGATGTTCAGAAAACAAAGCATATTTCCGAGCAAAATCAAACAAAAAATAATAATACAAAAACAACTATGGACATGTATATGCATAAGTATATGTTGAGAGAATTAACCATTGTGTTGCTATATCAAAGTGCTGCTTAGCTCCTCCTTGCTCTCCCTCTCTTCCACTCTCTATCCCTGTGTGTGAGAGCGCGCGCCGCAGACAAGGCAAATGGGAAAATTAAACCCTAGTTCTTGGCATATATGTTTAATGACCGCAACTCCTTTCTTCCACGAATGGGCAATTTCGGGATTTTGGCAAATGGATAGGGTTACTATCGAGTCGGGTTGTACTGCTAGATCCGGGTTTTACCACTTGCTTCAGTTGCGGCAAATTATATCGTGCACCTAGGGATGGCAATGGGGCGAGGCGGGGATATACTCGTCCCCGCCCCCGCAATCCCACCCCACTCCCCATACCCGCACCCGCACCCGTGCGGGCATTGAAATTCCTTCCCATACCCGCTCTCGTGGGAATTTTGCGGGTGCGGAAAATACTCGTGGAGGCTTTGCATGTAACCGTTTCATTAATAATATGAAACTTACATTTAATAAAATTTTTATTACTACAATTTACAATATTAATGTATCAAAGTCTTCATCAAATAACTACCAACTTGAATATTACATTTGCTTCCAAGTTCCAACTTCAGCATTAGTGTATAAAATATTAGCCACTAGCACCAAAAAAATAATTAGACGTTGTAATATTAGTGAGTTAAGACCTTTCCTTACTACTCATAAATCTAACAGATTAAATAAATAACATAATACTTTGATATTTACTTAAATATAATAACACTATATATATATATATATGCGGGGGCGGGGATACCTCTCCCCGCACCTGCCCCCATACCCGCGCGGGTTTAAAACATTTCCCCCATACCCGCACCCATTACTCAAATTATGCGGGTATTTTATTACCTATTGGGGCGGGGATGCGAGTAACCCATTGGGTGCGGGTAGAATTGCCATCTCTACGTGCACCGCGGTGCATAATCGATTATGCACTGCGCGTCAGACACTACATGTCTAAATCGACACTGTCAAAACGACGTCGTTTTAGTTAATGAAAAGAAACAGAATCTTCGCAAAAAATAACTCTGTTCTTCAGTTTCATTTTGTATACACTGCAGTTTCAGTTCAACACAACTACAGTTTTGTTTCGATATAACTACAGTTTCATTCAATATTTATACACTCAAATATATGAAAATGTTATTTAATTTTATTATATATACACTATAATTTCATTAAAACACAACTACATAATCATTTGAATATAATTACAGCTTCATTGTACAATATACACTCAAATATGTGAAATGTTATTCAGTTTCATTTTATATATACTGTAGTTTCATTTCACCACAACTATAGTATCATTTTGATATAACTGTAGTTTCATTTGATAATATAATAAAAATAATACGTGAGCCAGTGTCAGTTTAGACACACTGTAGTGTCTGATGCACGGTGCATAATCGATTATGCACTGCGGTGCACGATATAACGACCTTTCAGTTGCTTGAGTCTTGCCTTTTAAGTTATTCGCACATTGTTCACTCTCAAAAAGTCATATTATTAAATTTGTAATTAATTACTATTCGTTTTTTATCTGTATAATTCCTTTTAAACTTTAAAAATGATCACTCTTTCACATCACCTACAAAAAAAAAATTATTTTTTAATCAAAAAATTATGCAATTAATCTCTTTTATCAATATATAAATTAGGAAATCGAACTCTGGTTAATGGGCAGAAAAGAAAGAAGGAGACCACCAAGCCAGTAGGTTGGTCTTGTTCAGACAGTGATGCCTTGAGGAGCGAACACCCTTCTTTTTATACTGCACCTCAACCTCCAGATGTCGTCCACGTGTACGATAACCCAAACAATCTCCCCTCCACCAACCACGTGAACCACGTCCTTCACACCCACAACACACCAAACGCCATTCCACAAGACCACTGGCGCAGGCATCGGTTGTTGGAGGCCAGCCCGCCATCCGACGACGACCTTCGTCAATCACAACCCAAGGCAAGCATGGTGTGGTCATAGCATGCTAGGTTTCGCCACCGGGGAGCATATGATGTAAGATTTTTCCTAATAATATATATTATATATTATATATTATATATTATATATTAGGGCCTTAATTAAGTGGTGCAAGTTGACTAGGCTTATTAAGTGGTCTGGTTGAACTGAATAACTAGAAGTTGTTAGTCAACCAAACTCTGTGCGTAATATAAACCTGGATTGATAGGATACAGGATTATTGATTAGATAGCACATTCAGTTACGGTACTCATACTGCTCAGAAGATACCAATACACTATCTAGGGTTCTGAGTCAAGTATGAGGCAAATAATGGCTAACGGTATACCATTAAGAAGCTGGAGACCAACACGGCTACCGCTTCCGCTTATACGAATTCAGATTTCTCGTATATTATTGTTCACTATAGTTAGATTATTTATATCTAACATTTGGTATCAGAGTTCTTATAATCTCTGTCTGGTTGATTGTTTTGCCTAAAACAATATTAAGTTAAGTTTCATATATATTAAGTTTTTGTATATGTTTTAATTCTTTAAACTATACGCGTAAAAATATATCTATTCAGTCTGAATATAATTATGTAATTTGACGTGTATGTTTTGGAGTGAATTAATTACTGATTCTCCTGGAATTAAGAATAATTTTGGTTAATCTGAATATGTATGCAACCTGAATACATTTATTCTATTAAAGGCATACATATATTTGTGCTTTGCTTTTCCAGTATTTATGTACATATATTCGGATTTCAAATATGTATATATATACATGTCAGTTTTTCCAGAAACAATTTTGGAAAAAATTATAAATCATTTTTCGAAATATAAAGGAAATAATTTCGAAATTCAAACAATAAACCTACTGCCTTGCTACTTGTTTGCCAGAAAATTGCCGGATTTGTTCGCCGGTTACAATCTCCGTTCGGTGGCGAAGCTAGAGATGGCGGAGGTGGGTGGTAGCGGTGTTCACCGTTGGACGCTGGACATCGCAACGGCGTTGGCGTTGCGATAAGGAGAGACGGCGACGGCAAAGCTGGGTTCCGGCGGTGGCGTCATCGCTGCTTCTCTTCTTCTTCTTCAGGCGATGCCAACGACGGAGCTTGGAGTTGTAGCGACCATGAGAGACGACGAACGGTGAGCGACGTCTCGGATGAGGGAGACGACGGATGGTGATAGCGAGATTGGGTCAGCCGGACGGCGACAGCAAGGAATCGGCTTCGACCGGCTTCTTTTCTCTCCATGCAGTTGCGTCTCTCCCCCCTTTTTCTTCGTCGCACCTGTCTCTCTTTCTCTCTGTTTGGCTGTGGGCCGCTAGGTTTTGCCTGATTCAAGCTAGAGAAGGTGATGGATAATTAATGGGCGGGGTCAGGCCCATTTGGGCAAACCTGGAGTCTTTGTCTTATACCAATCATTATTGTGTGGACCAATTTGTGTGTACCATATTTTGTATACTGTAAAATAATGTACATTCGGTACAAAAATAATGTACATTCAGTACAAAAATAATGTACATTGTATTCAAGGGATGTACATTATTTTTGTTCTGAGTGTACATTATATTGTATAATGTACATTCAGTACAAAAATAATGTACATTTAGTATATATTAAAAAAATACTTTTTGTTATGGTTCACATAACATTGTGTGGACCATGGTCCACACAATAATTTGCCGTCTTATACAATGATACATGAGCCTGCTTTAGTAATTTTGGGCTTAATTAAGTTTTTTTTTTTTTTTCCATCACATTTAGACTTCTTCTACCTTAATTGTTCAACTTTAATTTCTCCTTAATTCATTATTAAATTATCATTCAATTTGAGGCAAATATTAAGTTTTAATTTGCTGTTTGAATTTTAATTTAATGTTAAGGTACAAATTGAATTGCCTCAAGTTTTACAGTTTATGGTTAATAATATATTAATATGCAAAATCAAAGCATGTTATGTATATTTATTAAATAATTATTTAATTTATTATTATAATTATACATTCCTAGAAGCATGCATTAAGGTTAGATTTAGCATATTATTAACTCATAAATTCATTATTAAAATATCATTCAATTTTGGATCCTTAGGCTAATTTTAGTCATTATGGCCTACTAAAGTAGCTTGTTTTGTTTCTCATTTAATTTTGAACATATTTTAGTCATATATTTCACTTGGGACTTTAAAAACCTATTTTGAACAAGTTATTTGGAACCAATTATGGGTTATTAAAGTATGGGTCCCACCATTTTGATTGATATTTTAATAATAATTTTTATAACTCTTTTTATTTGACTTATAACATGTTTATTAAGTTTTAATTATTACTAATTATCATATTTTGGTATTCATCGTTGGTAATAATATTAAGTTTTGGGTCTATTTCAGTACAAGACCATTTTCCATCCATGTTATAATTCACTTGGGTCATTGAGGTTTATGGGCCTAATTTGAGTGATTAAGTGCTATAATTATTGTCTTGGCCTATTTTGGGCAAATTATTGTGTGGACCATGGTCCACACAATGTTATGTGCACCATAACAAAAAGTACATTTTTAATATACTAAATATACATTATTTTTGTACTGAATGTACATTATACAATATAATGTACACTCAGAACAAAAATAATGTACACCCCCTGATCGAATACAATATACATTATTTTTGTATTGAATGTACATTATTTTTGTACTGAATGTACATTATTTTACAGTAGACAAAATATGGTCCACACAACTTGTGTGGACCATGGTCCACCCAATAATGATTGCCTATTTTGAGACATTAAGGATTTAAGGATTTAATTGCTATTTTGGTCATTAAGAATTACAACATATTGTTTAAGTTGATTATGTTCTTTAATCTATCAATAGTTTTCAGGGTCTTAATAATAATATTAAGTCTTTAATTTTATGGCAAAAGCAATATAGTTGGTATATTGTCTGTATAATGATAATTTGGTTATTACCTTAACTTCAGTCTCCTTAAGTATCATTATGCTAACATTAAGAGATCTCTACTCAAGACATGCTTATAAGGTTTTAGAGATTATACAGTGTACTCTTTTGTAGAATTTGGATGTGTTTCTCTTTCAGTTGTGCACATAATATATTTTGAGAAACATCCCTTAAGGTACTGAGAATGAACATTGGGTTTGTTCATAAAGGACCTAAGTTGGAGAATTAAAATGCATGTGACTATAATAGATACTACTCTGTTAAATAGAGGACATATCATTAAGATTTGTGTGTTTTGTTCTTTGATGAGGGTTGTGCTAGTACTTGTAGCAAGTGAGAGAATGTAAGACTAACTTGGGTAAAATTATTATAGTCAATGATTAAATTGGGTATTAATAGAGGTAAAATTACCAAGCTTAACAGAGGACTCAATTGGGTAAAACCATCAAAGTCAAAGATCTAAATGAGCACAAAAAGTCATTGCCTCTGTTTGGAAGAGCTTATTAGAAGATTATAGTTTATTTTAAGCTACTAATAAGCTATAAATTCTGTTTGATAATGTTTTCAAAATAAGCTCCTAGCTTAAAATAAGAGCTTATTTTGGAACGCTACCTTAGATAGCGTTTCAAAATAAGCTCCTAGCTTCCTAACTTTAAAAAAAAAAAAAAAAATCTTTATCCTTATTATTTTAAAGAAATGACATAATTTACCCTTTCCAATTAAAACATTTTTCTCTTCTCCTTTATCCGCAACTTTCACCACAAATATTATTATTATTATTATTATTATTATGAGATTTGCAACAATATTGCTACTTCATTATGAGATGCTAGATCATGATTATGCTAATAGTTTTATTTCAAAATGTTAAATTTTAATATGTAAACAAACTAATTTAAATTTTATGATGATGTGCTTTTTAGTATTTTTACATTTATCAGCTTATCAAGGCTAATTTTACCAAACACTTTCAATCATAAGAGCTAGCTTAACAGCTCTTCAGTTTTCAGCTCCGAGCTTATAGCTTTTTAGCTTCAGGATTAAAAATTGAAAAAAATCAACTATAGCTGATGATTAAATTGTGCATTAACTCGTAATTAATGAATATAAAGTATTGTAAAGTCTGTACAATTGTGTTCAAATAGCAATTTAATTTTCCATTCAAATTATAGCTGTCGTCCTTAAAGGCTAGACTGGTAGAGCCAACTGAAGAGTCCAAAAAGTGGAATAAGAAGAACAAAAACCGGATAAAGAGAAGTGGAAAAGCACCTGTTACTTTTTGGGTATGCATCATGAGGGCATATATTGCATACATAAACTGTAACTTCAAAGCACTACAGGAATACAGGACCCAACTACAAGCTAGTGAGAAATGGCTTCTCCTAGCCAAATCTGCAGAATCACTTTTGCTTGCTTCTTTATCTCATGCTTCATTATCTTTCAATGCCATAGTTCTTCATCAGATTTCGACGACAGGGTTAGCGTGTCGTTGTACTATGAATCGTTGTGTCCATACTGCGCAAACTTCATTGTGAATCAGCTGGTGAAGTTGTTTGTCACAGATCTTGGGTCCATTGTCAATCTCAGGCTCATCCCCTGGGGAAACACCCAAACAGCACCTAACAACGCCTGGGTTTGCCAGGTTAAATTCTGTCCCTTTTCAAGATTCATATGTGTTTTTGTTTGTTTTTTGGCTTGCAAGCTAAGGGACTAACCATTTATTGGATAATAACTTATTACAGCATGGGCCTGATGAGTGTCTGTTGGATGTAGTCCAAGCATGTGCCATTAATGTGTGGCCTAATCTGGTAATGACTTGTGCAGCTGTTAAATTCTGGGAATATTTTTTGTTGGGATTCGGCCAGATTGACCGAGTTCAGCCCATGCTCGATTTGAGACGTGGCGTTGTGACTTATCACAGAAGAATATGGTTAAATGGTTAATGTTCTCCACCTACTTATTATAACCAATTGGTTTGCTTAACGGGGAAGTAAGCATAGTGTCACACTGAGATTCATCAATTTTGGTCGATCTTTTTCCAAATATGGTTTTTGGTATGATGCAGGAGATGCATTTCAGGTTGGTATATTGCATAGAGCGTTTGCAGCTGGAGAACAGGCATGGGGAGTGGAATTCTTGCTTTGCTGCAACTGGATTGAGTGAATTGCCGGTTAGGGATTGCTTCAATAATGGAGTTGGAATCCGGGTCAGTCTGGTTTTTTATTTTTTAAATATTCAAACAAAGCTATCTAAGTTATATTAATCTCATCATCTTCACTTGCATGCTAATATATATTATGCTTTATGAAAGAAACTTCTAGTGTAGTGTGAAGCACAAGCATCCTCAAGAGTTGACTCTTTTGTTATAAATAAAGAGAAAACAAGAAAATGCATATTTATGGGTAACCTCAATCAAAGATGGATAAGGATTTAAATTTGTAATCACGAGGTCATGAGTTTGAATACCAACCCTCTTGGTTTGAGTCGGTCAACCTAAGCTGGTTTACTTTTTTTGTGGTCCTTTGCCAGCTAAATACAAACTTGTAACCACAAGGTCACGAGTTTGAATCTAAGCTTTTTTGATGTATCTAGGCTGATTTACTTTTTTTGTGATCCTTTGTCAACTAAATACGAACTTGTAACCACAAGGTTGAATCTAAGCCTTTTTTGGTGTACCCAGACTGATTTACTTTTTTTTTTTTGTGGTCCTTTGCCAGCTAATTACAAACTTGTAACCACAAAGTCACGAGTTCGAATCCAAGCCCTCTTGATTTGAACCAATCAACTTAAGACTGGTTTACTTTCAAGAAAATGCATATTTATGATAATTGAGACTTTTAACTTGCAGATAGAACAGGGATATGGTGATGAGACAGCTAGTCTAAACCCCCCACACAGGTTTGTCCCATGGGTTTTGGTGAATAATCAGCCTCTTCAAGAAGTTAGTCCCTCAAACTCCATAATTTTTTACTCTCTTTACATAAAAAGAGGCAATAAATAGTGTGTGTATATATAATATACAGATGTAAAGGGAAATTTCAATTTGCATGTTTTGCTTCTGCAGGATTATGACAACTTTGAAGCCTATATCTGCAGAGCTTATAGGGGAAACAGAATTCCCCAGGCTTGCCAGTCACTACCAGTTGAAGCCAATATGATGGTGAAGACATCAAGTAACACCCCTCAAGTTTGTTTTCGAGAATAACCCGAAACTACAATAGATGTGTGGCTCCATAAGACTCGAATTCGACTACTTTTTGCAATCTGAATGTTCATGAGATCAGATGAATGTGAAGTGCAGTCTGTAATGCAATGTAAGAATATGAAAAATTATCCCCAGGCCAGATTGATTGATCTCAAGTTATGAAGCTGCTCTTTGTTTCTGCAAGATTGATCAGAAAATATGTTAGTTTCTAGACTTGGCATCACTTACAAGTCACAAAAAGTAGCATATCAGAAACTGCATTTAATTTGCAGTAAGAGATTGAAATTTAAAGGACAAAAAAAGGGTATGTGAAACTTAACGTTGAACATGGGGAATCCATGTGCTAGGACAGTAATTCCATGTTATTCTCTTAAAATGCAGAATCAATTCTATTGCACTGCAAATCCATTAAGTCTACACGACTACACCACCTTCAAAGCATAGGAAACCAACTCAAAAGGCAAGTATAATTCTTTTATCTTTTGTTAATAATCCAAGTTTTCCGGACCTCAGAGCGGATCCAGAAATTTTTTCTCAATGGGTCGAAACATTCAAACAAAAGAGATATTTATAAAAAAAATGGAACACTTAAAAGTATAACTGTACCATAAATGTTGTTGAATATGAGCGAAAAATAAAACTCATTATTAATATAAAAGAAGGTTATATATATATGAAAGAAATATTGTGTCAAAACAATGAGATTTGAACTCCTAATCTTTCTTAGGTTCAAATGCATAACCTACCAACTAGTCTAACTTATCTCTTAATTACATTTATCTGTTTTCTTATAATTATACTAAAACATATACTATGTATACATATATATTTACAACGACTATATATGCGGTGTGGGTAGGGTGGGGGTGGGAGGAGGGGGGACAACCGCCTCCATTGTAGCTCCGCCCTTACCGGATCCGTCAGACTATGAACTCATGAATCCACTCTATGCCTATGAAGAGGTAAATCGAGCAAAATCTAAGGATATTCTTGAGATGGAAGCTCAAGCCCATCTTTCCCACATTTTGATTTAACACTCAAAATCAATCCCACTAGCATCTAAGTTCATTCCCCATTTTCAGACAGCATATTTGAATCATATTCTCAGCATCAAAAGAATTTGATACAAAACTGGGAAAAAAGACAAATTGTTGTTACCACTTGTAAGTTGTTTGTAACTCGAATGTTGCAAATTTTCAACACTAGACTATAAAAAGTTGGACTTTCATTTAATGTTATCTTTTCATGTCTAAATTTATTTACTATATGTCAAGGTAATAAAAACAAACACAAATTTGATAGTAATTCGAGAATAATGTAAACGGAGCTGATTATAATGCAACCATTACGGTCCACAACTGTGTTTTTCACAGTCCAAAAATACATAAAATATACTATTCTAACTCACAAAATATATTGTTCTAACATATAAAGTACATTATTGTAAGTTTGTAACTCAAAATATATTATCTTATCCTAGAAATTTCATTATTCTAACACATAAAGTACATTACACATTATTCTAACTCATAAAATACATTATTGTAACACATAAAGTACATTATTCTAACTCATAAAATACATTATCCTACCATAAAAACTTAATTTCATTATTTTTAACACATATAAAGTACATTATTCTAACTCATAAAGCACATTATCTTACCCCAGAATGTTCATTATTCTAACACGTGCGTAGAGCAAGAAATTTTTTTTTAACATCAAAACAACGTCATTTTGAACTGTGGTTTGCACAGCTGCGTGAACCACAATCCACACAATAATTTGCCATTATAATGTACTCGAATAATTGAAGCTAATAATATGTACTATTGGACCCACGAAATACACATGTCTCCGCCTTTGATCAGGGTTACAAGTTCTACTCAAAAGACGGGCAATGAACAAATATAATAAAAATAATTTATTTTAATAATATGTACTATTGGTCTTTACAGTGTCTCCCTATGCTACTAACATAATCCAATCTATGCAAAGACATATACACTAGGATAAAATAATGTATAGTATAGGATTCATCTCTTTACAAAATCCCAATAAAATAAAGAAATAATTTTGTGCGTTCCTATGTTGTCTGTTTGCCCGAGATTCTTGTCTTCTAATTTACATCCAGGTTGAGACTCTGATCAGTGGTGTTCCTCTCCATTCCAAGATCATCTCATTTTGTTTCTGTTCTTCAATGCTGACTCTGTATGGACTCTCCCTTTCTCCCACTAATTCTTTTGCTTCAACTAAATTCTCTCTGCTTAGTGTTTGTGGCAGAAAATCACAAGTTAGTCTAATCTTGTTTTGCTCCCAGTCTTGGTACCAAGATTCAGAGTTAATACAAGGTGCTAGAAATATACTCTCCAAGGCAATTCTTGCTTCTGAGAGAATAGCTGGGAAGTGCCATTCAATTGATTCCAAAAGGGACTTGTAGTGTACTAGTTTCTTGTTAAAGAAAGAGGTGTAGTTTGAAGTGTTGCAGCCCTCTGATTCTCCATGGGCGAAAACGATGATTCCGGTTTGGGTTTCAGAATTATGGGCTAAAAGTTGCTTAGCTATCTTTAGGAACTCCATGGCTCGAGAACTTGTTTGTGGCATGTTTGTTGCCATGTGTGGGAGCCTAAACATGCAGTTGAAAGCCAACCATTCTTTCTTCTTTGTCCTTTTCGTTTCGATGGCTAGTTCCTCGATGCTCGTTTCCTCGATCTGCAGGTTTAGGCCGAATGGCTTTGCGTGATCATAAAGCCTTCTCTTTGTCTCCTCATATCTCCATTGATTGCTGGGGGATTCATGGTTGGTTTTTATGGATGTGAGTCTTAAAGCCCTTCTTTTTTTAGCCATGGCTTCGATCACCGGAGGCCATTGAACCCCTTCTCCCATATCGAAATCTATTATGTGAACTGTTTCGGCATCATTTGGCAAGGCTTCAAGAATGGCTGAGTTAGCAGCAAAGTGAGCAAATCTCCCACATGGGAGAATTTGGTAGAATGCCCTGAATGCTTGCTCAAAGTTCTTGATTGATTCTTGTCTTAGGTAACCTTCTTGATCTTCTTTATTGGATTCGAATAGGCTGTGTGCAATACGCTCCAGCGTTTCGCCCAAAGGACTCGCCTTTCCCCTTATACGCTTCACAATAACCTCTGCAAGTTCCTCGTGCCCGTTTTCCATGGCCTCTGCATAAGCCCCCAGCAAGTGATGAAGGCTCAATTGAGTGTCTACTTCCACTCCACTCCCTGGAAATATAGATGATTGAGCAATCGAAAACGAAGCCTCAGAAGATACAACCGAAAGGCTAGGACTCCATTCGCTGTCACTAATGTTTAGCCACTTGCAAACATCCTCAAACTCACAAGGCACTGGATCCTCACCCTCTGGGAGCGAGGAGAGTATTTGCATATCATTTTGCAAACTTGAAAGTTCAGTAAACACATCTGGAAACAAGGCCGTAAAGTCTGAGACCAGTGTAGAGTGAGTATAGTTGTCTCTTACATAGGAATCTTCATGTGAACCGTACAACCTAGTTCGAGGGTGAGTTGAGTAATCGACGTTATAAGAGGATGGCCAGGAGGGGTGAAGGAGCTGTGGCTGCATCATCTTTATAAGGAAATCTCAACTCTATCTGATGAATTTTTTCTTAGCTTTGTGGTGATGAGCAGTAGAGTGCAGTCCTCTGTATATATAAATGTAGTTGGGATGAATTCTCAATGCAAAATTTCAACTTTCAAGTCTTGGTTGGGAAGTAAATCAATTACAGTACAGACAAAAAAGTACTCAAAGGATGTCATATTCTTAAAGAGTTTGATTCTGTTGAAGTTTCATGTTGACTCTCTTTCTTTCTTGGAATCTTGTTTCATGTAATATTATCCCATCAATTTTTAAAGATAAATTCCATTCACACTATGGGTGTGTTTGGTTCGCACAAGGAATCAGAATTGAGACAGGAATCAAATAATAGGTAAGGATAATGAGTTTAGTGAAAATATTTTACATGTTTGATAGTAAGGTAGAATTAGAATAATTACGAATATTGATGTTTGGTTACATATAACCCTATAATAGAAATAAAAGTTTTAAAAGTATAAAAATATAAAATTAAGTCAATTGATCATAATATAATGACATCTAAAGCATCAATATAAACAAAAAAAAATTAATACAAAAATCTAAAAGCGAGCATTAATCCAAACTTAAAGAAATTAAATTATCAATACGATGAAATGATACTCGTTTTTAATTAGGGAAGGGAGTTTTTAATCGAACTGGTAATTAAATCTCATAGTTATGGTTTAAAAAGTTGTCATCCAAACTCTAATTATGATTTTGATTCTCATTCTTGGTGTGTAAATCCATGAACCAAACAAACCCTATATATTATTTTTAATTCTCTGTAGAATATATTATTGTTTCATGATAATTGGGATTCCCAGTCTTCCACACGAAAAGGAACAGGATACGGTTTGATTACGTGTGGAAACATTGTTTTAGGCGCTTTCCATCAGATTTAATATACATTAAGTCATTAACACTGTAATGGCTATTTTTGAAAGATAAGGATTTTAATTTTTTGAAAAAATAAATCTTCTGCAATTGCATATTTATCCAAATCAGTGGTCAATCTTCATCCCATGTTTCTATATATATATATATATATATATGCTATTCAGATTCTTTATTTACCTTGATCTTAATTGTGAGATAGTAGATGTATACATGAAGACTGACTATGATTTTGTTTGGTTATCTTGTTGTGTAGTGATTTATGCTAGAGAAGAGAATACAACCGAACTAATTTCACTTTTGGTCTCACGACTTTAGAGGTTCTATCATTTTTGGTGCACAACTTTAAATTTTTTCAATTTTGGTGTCTAACTTTGTTATTTTTATCAATTTTGGTCCTTTCGACTAAATTGACTGCGAAATATTGCCGGATTTTACATTTTATGGGCAAAATCGTCATCCCAAGATGAAAGATATTCAATATCTAAACAAAAGAAAAATCATGTTAAGAGAAATATAAGAGTTTGGCAATCGTCGATGCTATAAATCTCATAGATCTGTGTCTAGTTTCTGTCCGTCTTCCCAATTATTCTCATCGATCAAACACCTATAGATATGATTTTAGAGTAATTTTGTTTAGATATTGAAGATGTTTCCTTGGGATGACGATTTTACCCCTAAAAATATAAAATTCAGCAATATTTCGTCGTCAATTTGGTTGAAAGGACCAAAATTGATAAAAACAACAAAGTTAGGCACCAAAATTGAAAACTTTTAAAGTTGTGCACCAAAAGTGATAGATCCTCTAAAGTCGTGGGACCAAAAGTGAAATTAATTCGAAGAGAATATGCATGAATTTCATCATTTATTCAAACCATCTAAAGATGACACTTATTACCAGGCCAGCTGTTCCACCTAAAAGAAATGTCTATAATTCAGCGTGGGGATTAGTCATTATGTCCGACGGTGGAAACCCGGAGTGTATCAAAAAAAAAAAAAAGATGAAACTTATTAGTTATCTGGTGAGAATAATACAGTCCAATCAGCTCCATGCAAGTACATACTTAATCGAGTTAATATCATCTAGGGTTCTCAAAGTATAGTGGTTTTTGAGTATAATAAGTACATACTTAATCAAGTTAACGTCATTTAAAGTCCTCTAAGTATAGTGATTTTGTCACGTTTAGTTCTAAATTTTCAAATTAATCACTATGATCCTTCAACTTTCAAAACCTTTAGAAAGACCCGTGTTGGTTAAAATTTGAAAGTTGAAGGATCAAGGAGTTAACTTGAAAGTTAAAGGACTTTAGTTGGTTAAAATTTGAAAGTTTAATTAGATAATGGGCTTTGGGCATGCATGCATGATGCCAGAATCTTTCTTGCAGTATTGTGACTTATCGGCAATTTATATCCTACACCACGATGCGCGTTGTACTGTGCGCCCAGATGCAAAACGACGTCGTTTTAATTTTTTTTTTTTTTTTTTTTGAAATTTCCCGCCTCAGTGAATGGCAGTAATTTTTCTTTAAAAAAAACCCGCTGTTCAAAAATGTACATAATGTTATACTAGAATATACATAATTGTATACATGAATGTACATAATCATATAACAAAATATACATACTCTTTTTAAAAGATAATACACATAATCTAACATAATACATAATAAACATAAACTTTTAACATAATACACATCAACTCTTAACATAATACACACAAATTTTCTGATTCGGATGTACATAATTGTATAAAAAGAATGTACATAATTGTATAAAAAATGTACATAATTGTATAAAAAATGTACATAACTGTATGAACAAATACACATAATTGTGTGAACAAATACATATAATCACAACAACTTCCTACCGCGCCTCCCAAAACGACGTCGTTTTGGGAGACGCGTGGCGCACAGTGCTACGCGCACCGTGGTGTAGGGTATAACGATTGTGACTTACCAGCATAAAGCTAAGGATGTTCTTACTGATATGTTCAACTAGTAAAACGAGATATGATGAAGTTCGCATTATTGGATTTCGATAGTTCTAATGTTAGCCGCTTGACAAATGACAACGTTGAAGATCATACTGGATTGAGAAACCTGGTGCTCATTTTATTATGATTTTTAGGTCTGTTTGGAAAGTAGGAAAAATGACTTGGAAAATGTATTTTGAAAAATGATTCATTTTTCAAAAAAACATTTTCGTTTTCGGTGTTTGGTTGCATTCTGAAAAATATAAGAATGGATGGAAACTAAGGAATCGAAGGCAGCGAAGGCAACCATGTTTTGAGTATTGGCGGAAAATGACTTGCGCCAATTTTGGCGTAATTCATTTTCCGCAAAAATACCTACATTTTTCCCAATCAATGGAAAATGTTTTCCGTTGTCTGAATTTTTTTACTGCATCCAAACATTGAAAACTCATAAAACATTTGTCAGAAATCATTTTACGAGTTTCCAAACGGACGGAATATGCCATTCTGGTTACTCATCATCATTGGTGGCCTCATTTCATTCCTCAATCAGATCATCAGAAACACAAGAAACAATTATAAAACGACAAGACAGTGTTTGATCAAAGAATCTGTTGAGGAGTCTTGACAGTCTAGGAACCTTCATACAACAATTAATGACAAGTTTTCCAAACCAGACGTTCTTGGTGGATAAGTTAGCCATCATATACTCATATTATAAGAGAGTTAATACCCATATTATAAGAGAATTAATTCCTTGTTTTAATCCTTGTTTCACTACCGGAAATTATGGAATTTTCGACCACATGAAAGTGATCTTAAATCAAGTTGACACCAAAAAGTGGTCGGAAATAGCAACAAAGGTTTTTCCGGATACCAAAAGTGGTCGGAACAAGACTTTCGACTTGATTTAAGATCACTTTCAGGTGGTCGGAAATTTCATAATTTCTAATAGTGTTTATTGATTACGAGAGTGGTTAGTAGACTAGGATACTTATGTGCATTCCCCATTGACTCTTTGGTTATTTGTTCTCCCTAATCCCATAGGTTGTTGAAGCATCTAGATGATAATGCTCCCTAGCTTGAGTCCGATTTCTTTATTTCGTGTTTATCTCTTGTTAATATGTAGTGTTTGTGTTATTTTGTTTGGTTACCGTAGTCTCAACCTTATTATGGTTTGCTTAGCTTCTTGTTGATTGCCTAGTACTAGTGCCTAGTTGTTTTTGATTGCGTGTTACGTATCATAACTCAATTCCCTGAGGATGACATGTCACATCCGTACACTCACCATCACTCATTTTTGCTACAATCATCTCACAAGAAGTGTTGCAGCTTACGACATTCGCGTGCTTCATGGCCATTGAAATTACAGAACTTGCAGACCATGTTTGGGCTACGTTAAGTGGAGTTGTTGGATCGTTTGTACTATTGAAACTGTTGACCATTATTGTTCCGATTAGACTTATAGTTATTCCTGCTATTTTGCAAAAAACCAGACTAGCGTTGTGTGACATTGACTGTAGGTTTGTAACGATAAGAGACTGTCTAGTAGCATCTTTCTTCTTCTTTTGCCTTTCAAATTCTGTGAGCTCGTCCTTGAGTTCCGAGAACGTAATAGGGGTTGGTCGTATATGTAGCTCAGGAACTATCTGATCATAATCGTCATTGAGTTGAGTAAGAATATGGATTACCAGGTCTTGCTCACTGATTGGGTTTTGATCAAAGGAACGAGCTTCAGCAATATTAAACATCTCATCAACGTATTCCTCAACTGGACAACCATTTTGAGGATTTGAAGCCAGTTTGGTTTTTAGTGAGACAATGCGAGACGGTGATGTGCTTGCAAAAGTTGTAGTTAATCGTTCCCAGGCGACAGTAGAGGATGCCGCGAAAGAGATCAACGGTTGGATAGTGTCAGAACAGCTCCCTAAAATGGCATTGATAATGGTTTGATCTTGTCTAAACCATGTGATGTATTCTGGATTATGCTCTTTTTGGGCTGTATCACTGAATTGTGCAGGAGCTGGAGTGGTACTGTCAATGTAGCCGAGTAAGTCAAGGCTAATAAGAGAGGCTTGAATCCGTTTTCTCCAAACTTGAAAGTTGGAAGATGTCAATTTAAGGGGAAAATTGGCTGGGGCATAAGTTGAATGACTTGTTTCTCTATATTGATGGCCATTTAGTGGGAAGGAAGGAGAGAGGGAGAGAAAAAAAATTGTTCGTTAGAGTAAGCCATATAGAGATAGTAACTGAATGCTTTATTATGAGAAAGGATGAGAGCTTAAATAGCCGGGATACAACAACTTCTACACTAATATCATGCAGACTAATTCTAACAAAGCCAGACAAAGTCTAACCACACAAACTAAACAAACTAATATACACTATTCCTTTACATAGAAAGCATAAAAATAAAACCCTAGCACACTTCTAGTTCTCTACATAATGATTAAATCCATTGTGTTGCGTAGTGAACAGTATTCCTTGAAAATGGAACTATACAGAGATCCTGCAGCCACCCAACTCGAGCACTGATAAAGCTTGGTGTGGTATTTATTCACTGTGGAATGTGACGTCGCCGGATTGGATTAGGTTCATCATTAGAGCGTGGTTTGGAAAGTCGCGCTTAAGCGTTCCGTATAGGCCTGTGCAACGGACGGGTTCGGGCTCGCGGAAGGCTAATCCCGATCGGACTTCAGATACCATATTCGAGCACCTATCCGTTTATTTTCCCACCTAATTTCGTCGGATATTCTTCCGAATTACCGTTCGGATATCCGACTCAACCGTCAGATAGTTCGGTTATTGAAGATAAAAGTGTAAGTGCAAAAATAATAAATTTATTTAACAAAAAGAACTGATTTTTAAAACTTAACCACTAAAAGTCTAAAATACAGAACTACTTAAGGAGTAAAAGTGTAAGACACTTC